CAAATATACATTATAAAAAATCTACTAATACCAAAGAGTGACGTATAAGAATGTATCTCATTTGTGCCAAAAGTTCGGCAAGGAAACAGACAAGAAGTCAGATACAACCAAAAATGATGTCATTTTATAGCTTCGCTGCACATTCTACATAGTTGGAAAAGATGAACTGAGTTGTAATTGCACTGAGCCATTAACGCCTTCAGATCTGTGTTATTTTTGGACAGTTGCTGAAGCGATAAGTTAGGATTTCGCTTCTGAAATGACGTGCGTACAGAAACTGGTGGATAAGCCAGATCCACAGTAGAGGGGTTGGCACCTATTCGCCAATCACCGAGGTATTGAGAGGTTCTTGATGAGATCTTAACTATGGAACATTTCAACGCTGTTAACACATTGACCTCAACTATAACCAAACTGAGGACTGGAAAATGATTTTGTTCCAGACGACTTTCTCGACCTGTTCGAATTGGACTTTTTAATTTGTGAATATTTTGCAATAATTTGGCAAGTTCTAACAACAAGGAACTAGCAGATTTTATAAAAGAATAAATCTTCTAGCAATGCTGCCGAAGATTCAAGCTTGGATTCCTTCACAATTTAGTCCGAAATCTAGATACTTCTATGGATGCAAAGTTGAAAATGATTGAAGAGTGGATGATAACGTCTAATCGGACTCTACAATCAATCAAAAATTGGGTTTAGCATGGACTTTCTTTTCTACCTCTTCCAGAATTCACCCAGATGTTGCGTGCGTTTTGACCACGATTGTAAAAAATGATTATAGTAACAGCAATTCAATTCACAAGTTAAAAAATGATTCTTCTTTAGCGTTAGGAGCAGTATGAATTTACCATAACAAATGAGACCAATGTATAAACGGTAACTTTAATATATTTCATCTGTCTCCACCGGGGGCTAATAACACACTGCACCTGTAATGAATTAAGTGAGATAATGTTTGAAGTTATATTTTTTGCCTATTTTATTTTTTTTTCGGCAGTGTATGTCGTGAACGTGAAGTGTCATAAGGGAGTTGAGATATGAGCAAAACTCGGGACTTCGACTTTGCTTCAAACCCGCTATTACCTTTACCGAGCTCGTGCCTATCCATCCCACCAGTAGAGGCCCTTGCTTTGCCCTTTTCTCATCCTTGTTTTCAATCTATCCATACTGTCAGCAATAATATAGTTCGACCTAGACTGGCTTTCACATAGTCTCGGAATTATTAACCAATGTCTGCTTTTCTTTTTACAGATAAGCTATCATGAGCTTGATACAAAACTTTACTTGGTCAAGGTTTCTGAGTCCTAGCGTTCGTCAGAGCCAGAATGATTGAAGTCGATTGACTACAGCTGTCCGCTCTTGCAATGTGGGTCTTCATTGTCGCATCAAGTCGAATCCAGTGGAGTGGAGCACCGCTCGAATGATTGGCAGAAATTGTAATAAATTAGTCCGTAAATCGGAACTAAGTATTCCAACAAAAAAAATTTTGCATATTTCACTGAATTACCTACAAGGCCCAAAAAGATCTAAAGTATTAACATATCTAAGGGTAAACGAAAAAATTGAAATCAAGAGAACAGGAGGTGTGGGAAGTAATTCAGTTTCCGGCTGTCCATTGGTGGAGCTTTTTAAGACGCTCTTGGACACCCTTTTTTCAAAATTTAGGAGCGGCATGCAAAAATTATGATTCTCGCTATGTATCCTGAGTGAGGATTATGTATCTTGAGTGAGGAGAACCTCTTGGATTAGTGTGGTGAGAGAGGAGAACAGACTTTATTGTTGACCAGATTAGGTTAGTCGAGGAGCAACAAAACTAGAGGTGGTAAAAAAGCTGCAGATCTCAGAGATAAATTTAAAGCAAATTTCTTTCAAATGTCGCATTTAATTCTTTCTTTATAAGAAATTATCTGTTTATTTAGACAACCACTATACTTATAATAGGTAGGTGTGGCGCAGTGGTCGGAGGCGCTCTGCGACACACACATTGGATCGAATCCGGCGCTCGTAGCTCACTAAGCCTTCGATTCCTCCGGAGTCGGTAAATTGGTACCAGACTTGTATGGGAGGATAGCACCACTGGCTCGATACATCGGCAGACCACCGCGAGCCGTTTTAAGGGCGAGATATGCACTCGATCACCTCCAATAAATGCCTAATGTAGTCGGATGGTGCATCCCTCAAGGATTGATCAACGCTGAGATCTTTATTTTTATTTTTTATTACTATTGTTGAAAAATCAAAAACAGGTTGAAAGATTGTTATAAATCATTCGAGGCTGATACTTCGAATCTATCGTCACCATGAAAAGGTATACTTTTGGATAGCGATCGATCAAGAACCTTCCTATAACTTGGGAAGCCGCCGTGCGAAGTCAGTCCCTCTTCCATTCCAGTGCTATGATCGCCGTTCTGAATAGAGTGGCGCCGAAACGTTAACTACAATAAATATTTGAAACAAACTCATGCAGGCTTATCGAGAAACCAGGATGTTGATTATCGCTAAATGAAAACAATTAAAGAAAGTTGTTTTACACGACCATTAATCATATCTACTGTGCAAATCCAAGTGCTTTCAGCATTCTATTCGTTTCTTCGCACTCAACGTCCACAAACTCTTCGAACTCTCACGAGTGGGTTCGAATGCTGCTTGAGGATCGTCCTTTTTATGAACATCGTGGAATGCCGGTCCTTGGAGTCCTGGGTAGCTTGGCTAGGGCTTCCCATTTAGATCACGTGAAGTAAACTGCACCTGGACAACTCGGCTACTAATTCGGCGATGCCGAAAGAACGAAAGACTTGTTGGGTTTGGGCAGGACCGAAGTAGTACCGCGCTCGCGATGAACAGTGTCAGTACCACTGCACTAACTGCTCCCATTAAGGATAAATCGAAAAATATTAAGAGGCAGTATTTTAACATTTACACGCTTTATCAAATATCATTCTTGGAACAAAGGAGGTATACTTAGTGGTCAAACCGACTAAAAGAAGTCCGCTCATATGTGTTTCGCTGATTAATGTCACGGTTATCGTTGTGAACATGAGTAGATTCAAAGCAAATAAACATACCGTGTTTCATTTATAACTTGACAATAAAACTTACGAGCAGAAAATCGGGACAAACCCAATGTTGTAACATGTGCGCCACTATCTTAACTCTTTTATTTACTGCCTTTTTCTTCTTAATGGCAGGTTATGTTGCGAAGTATAACTCGTATGAAATGCTGAGATATTTGCAAAACTCCGGATCACAGGTGTATGCAGTGGAGAACGAACACGCGCTGTTGTCCTTACCGGGGAGCTGAGAGACATGCAAAGCGAAGGACCCGGCTGGTGTAGTGGTGAAGTGCGCTGCTCCCCAGTAAGGACAACAGCGCGTGTCCGTTCTCCACTGCATACACCTGTGGTCCGGAGTTTTGCAAATATCTCAGCATTTCATATGTGCGCCACTGTTCAGTGGTTTCGAACCCTATGCTCATTTCAGAAGGAACTGATCAGCAATTTCCATTTTGAGTTAACCAGAATTATTTCAAAACCGACTTTCGCTTAACCTCGGTATGGCTGGTCAACACGTGTTTAAATTGTTGAGCTTGCGCTAGGTTGTTCTATAACTTTTATTCGGTTAACGTTTTGACGTCCCCGTCTTGATCAGAGTCGATGATTCGAGTCGACGCTCGACAACTGTTGGCGTCTTCGCCTTCGAGTCGAGTCAGATTTCCTTCAGTGGAGCATCTCTCGAAATCTGAATTAGTAGCAAGGTATGAAATGCCTATTTCACTTTTCACTTTACAAGGGTTTTAAGTACAACAACTATTCCACGGTGCATCACCCATTAGAGAACACCTTCAAACAAGCGGAATAAATCAGAATAAATCTTCTGTACCCAAGAATTAGCGTTACAGACATACTTGTGAGAAGTATACTTGTGTATACAAATATACTTGTGAGAAGCAAAGAAATTTCTAGCAGTTTATCAGTTTGGCTGTTTAGTATTCCACTACCAGAAACAGGCAACGTCCGTACTCCAAGCCTGCTCTTTGATTTTTATCACATTACCACCTAATTTAAGCGTTTTTTCTCATTTTCGATATAAATACAAGTTTTGATGAATATTAGTTAGTTCATCAATGCTACGTAAACATGTGACACTCACAGCTCAGCAACGAATGAGTGCTTCTACAGCACAAAACAATGTAGAACTTCAAAATCTATAAACTGGATGACAAATCCTGAAATCATGAGCGATTTGTCCAGTTTGCTGGAGAGTTTTGTTTCTAAGCAAGTAATTTCCACACAGCAGACCACCTCTGGTATATCCTGAGTGCCAGGAAATGAAGGAAGAGAACTAGAATAATTTCCGTGCCAATGATATGGAAGCATAAAATGATAAAGCTCTTGTCGTTGATCAATCGCTGAGGGATGCGCCATGCATTCGATTTCATTAAGCATCGTTTGGAGGTGATTGAAAGCATATCTGGCCTTTGCAATGACTCGTGGTGGCCTACTGATGTACCTAGCCAGTGCTGCCATCCTCCCAGACAAGCATGGTACCTCGTTGCCGACCCTGGAGGGATGGAAGTGGGCAATGGGCGCGCGGATCGATTCCACGTGTGTGATGCAGGGCGCCTCCAACCACTGCACCACACGCGCCCTGTCAGTACAATGTTAGCAACAATACTTCAGTGTATTTTATCGAGAATGACTTGAGACAGAGATAATACAAATACAAATGGATGGCAGACTAAGCATGGCAACGATGCACCGGGAAATAACATGTCATGATATAAAACACCCAGTCATTAGTATAAAGCTCCTCATAACAATAAATAGATTAAATTGAAAGAACTGAATAATAAAACTGTTACAATTATGAATAAAACTCAGACATAAAGCTATGACGTGCGACTAGTAGAATGTGGCATTTCGTCTCGCTGATACTCATATAGACACTATAAAGTCAATCATTGTAGCGAGATCAGTACTGTAAGTACAAGATCTACGTTAGTTCGCTTTCCTGTCTCCATATTGACAGTCATACAGAACCCGAGAGATCTCCAGTCGAGCTAATGCAAAGGTACGTGCGTCCATACCACTAAGTGACTTCTCAATCGAACGCACGAACAAGGAAACCTTAACAATATAAACCATACTGAGGAATGAAGCGAGCTAAGGGACAAAAGAATAGAAAAAACTATTTAGTAAGGACACAAAAACCTCGGTGTCAGGAATATAGTCTTCATGATTTTCTTCAAGTTTTCTCCTTTTCGACGAAGTGCTCATAGGTTGGGATTGTTTATCACAGTGCTAAAGTGAAGCCATAACTAATAGAGATTTGGATGAGAACAGAATAATGTAAAATTTCCTCATACCTCTACATCAAGTGGTAACGGCATAGCCATGCTCTGTTCGGCAAAACTGGCGTAGAACTCCTTTAGTGGGTCACATCGGTCCTACAAGTAACTTTTGTATAGTTTATATAATGCTATTTAGTATTTCTGATACAACCCAACGGTTTACCCCTCATCGTGGCTGGGAAGTGTTCCTGGGTGTCAGTCAGCGATGAACAGTGGAGGATTCATTCTCTAGCAGGGCAACCAAAGTTGAAAAGGGGTTCGGCGTTCTCACTAGGAAGCCCAGTTAACGGCAAAATGATATCAGGATCCAGCCCCTACTGGTATAAAAGTACTCGCATGATGGCAAATATTCCTCTGATCCACAAAGACGGCGAATGTCCGTGGTGGTGACGACCTAGCGCAGACTTTGGCTAGGCTGTCCTCGGGACTCCAGGGAACCACAGTGGATAAATAACAAAAACTCCGAAAAAGTGGGAATTATCCTAGGGCCCACATAATTAGTGGAGACAAGCCATCCAAGTATCCAAGAAGACTCACCTCAGTCTCTCCTTCCGCGGAATCGCTACCTTCTTCCTCTTCGTTCCGCTCCGTGATCTGCGAATCGAATAGGTTTTCAGCTGAATGTGACCCACATCAAACAAATAACACCTTTTTACATTCGTGAACAATCACTGTGAATAAGAACAAAAAGAAACATACCGTTTCCTCCAAGCTTCATGAGACTCGCCATAAGATCTCCACGTTTCCGCCTGTTTCGATGTTCAATATATGGATCCAAAAATGACATTTTTTTGTAGTAGTAGTACCTAAAATGACAATTGCCGCAAATTTATATTAATGTGGCAAGTTAATAAAAAACGAGTGTAGTGACTGAATACCACTTATCGCCCTTTTTTAGCGGCGTACTCGTCTTGTCGATCTTTCGAAGACGAACGTAGCGATCTCGCATATGGCGCCATTTCCTCTCCAGTTCCACTCCCGGACCTAAACACATATTTCAAATGATTAGTAGAAAATTGGAGATAAAGCACAGTTACACCGTACTATTCATGAATTCCAATTTTTTTTCCTTGGAAACTCATTAACTCGTTCCAGAATGATTTCAGGTCAATAATAGAAGGACTTTAATGAAAAAAAAACAAATAGAACAAATTAAGCAGAAGCCTCAATGACGCTGAAATATTTGCAAAACTCCGGACCGCAGGTGTCTGCGGTGAAGAGAAACGCGCTATTACCCTTTTCGCGGGTTAACGCGTTCACCACCACACCATGCGTAACCTTCGTTTCCCTCTGTCTCAGCTAGTTTTCTGCCCATCGCTGCCATCAGCAATTACCCGTCAAAGGGATTGCTCTGGGAAGCCCAAATAGAACATAAACCCAGTTCATCTGAGGCTATAGTGGAAATCACAATCTTATTTTTTTTATTTACTGCCCATTGCAGATTTTTACGGCGGGGTATTATCTCTCCGGACCGCAGGTGTTTGCCGTGGGGTGGGGAACGAAGGCGCTACTACCGTTACGGAACGGTAGATAGAAAACTAGCTGAGAGAGAGAGGAAACGAAGGACACGCATGTTGTGGTTGCGAACGCATTATCCTCCGGAAAAGGTAATAGCTCGTTTGTTCCCCACCGCAGACACATGCCGACCGAAGTTTTACAAATATCTCAACACCATTGTGGTTGTATTACACATAATACCCTGCCGTGAAAAATTGTAATAGGCAGTAAATAAAATGTTAAAATTGACGTACATTATTTGCCAGCCTTTGTGAACTTGAGAAATGGGGACATTCTGCGACTAGGTTTCTTTCAGGAGATCGGGGACTTATAGTATTGGTTTACCCTTATCAGGTTTGTAACATGGAAATGTCGAACTCCTCAGATCGTGTGATTCTAGAGTGATCAATTCCTGAGATGGCGCACAAGGACTCCGGCTACCCATGGAACTGTCGTCAGTTAATATACATAATCTACTTCTCTTGTTATAGGATGGAAAGTAATGTTGAACCTACACCTAACTATTGAGAATTACGAAAGACCAACCTGTAAATGACAACTGCTGTGCTACTTGATTCCAAACATGACTCTTGTAGTCTGACATTTTGTGGAGTGGATGGCATCTGAAAAGATGATGAAGATTAAAAGAAAACTAATCCTATGACTCATAAAGGATCACTCATAACATACCGATTGAAGATGCAGGGATTCTTTTCAACTGCATCAATTAGACGGATCTCAAAGTGATCATCTGCAGTGCAAGGATATTGCTATAATAATCTTCTCGTTATTAATATAAGCAAAGTTCTGCAGACTATGCAAAGCAGTGCTCAAAACCTACCCCAACGACCAAATCAACATCTCTTCCATCACCTTCGCTAGATTTTCCATGAGTATGAACGTCTTTTAACATGTCACTAGGGACCATAGGCTTCACACTGACACCGATCTCCTTCACCACTTCGCCTGCCGCTAATGGCTTCACATCCACGGTGGCGGTTGGCATCCAGTACTACAGAGGAAAGTAGGATGATAAGTCATTAAGTTACTGATAGGCACTTTAGGAAACGTCCACATGTGGAGAAAAGGCGACAGAAAAACGGATAGAAACATTGAAAAGAAATATTGTAATTTTGACGTCACCAAATTCAATACACATTAGTCATAACGATTTCTGGACTTCTTGAACACCAATGATTGGTGGGAACACGGACACATTGACAGTGATGGTGAACGTGCTGTTAAGTAGTGCAGCTGGTGACTGATTAACCGCCGAAGGCACTAGCGCAATTTCGTCTCAACATGAAAAGAATAGCACAAAAGCGTGTTTGCAGCATGCTGCTACGCTATATGAATTCTACAAAGTAATAACGTTCTATGTACCTTGGTTTCTACCTCTTTAGAAAAGTTGGTTCCTTTTACCCAAAAGAGAATGGATCACTGAAGAATGAAGTACTTCTAAAACGCCGTCCAGTGAATGCAAATTCATCTGCAACATTTTTTACGTAATTCCTAAGAGAACATCTGTACTTCCATTAAGAGAAATATAAATATATTTTCTGAACAGCAGTGCAAAAATAGAACACAATTTTTTTTCATTCCTATTGTTATATGACCACCCTTAAAGGTCACTGTGTGGACGCCAGCGCTTCTCACATTCGGTTCATTTCCTCGCATCTATTACCCACGAAGATTTTCCAACCTTTACGGATGGCTTGAGCTACTGCCTGAAGAATTTCACTTCGTCTTGAACGTTGGAGAACGCTGGTCGAGTCGATTCTCCTTAGAGTCCTGAGAAAGCCGGGCTGGAGCCCGGACAAGTCTGGTACCAATCCCCCGACCTCGGAGAGTTGAGAGGCTTGGTCGTCCCGGAGCGGAGCCGAGCTAGGAGCACATTCGCGATTATGGACATCACTACCGCTGGGTTATCCTCCAAGAAATAGACTTAAACATGTTAAGCATGTGCAAATAACAAACTAAAACCTCTGAATTGACCTGGATCAAAGTAATTTTGTTGGATAGCTCATGTGGTAGCTTAATTCTCTTCTTTGGGCTTGCCCCGTAGGACTTTTTCGTAGGATGACTATCGAGTAGAAATATTCAGACAGTTTTCCTCGCCTTTGCTGCTATCGCTTTGAACTTGGACTGTGTTAAGCGTGTGTACCAATTGGTTGTCAACAGTTTGTTCATAAGATATCTCACAATGTTTGTTGGCTTCATCGTATGGCTACGAAAAGCGAAAAGCAGGTAACTCATTTAAAGGAATTCCTCCACTTTATGAGAGCGAATCGAGTGCTAGAAAGTTCTCCAAAATCTTTCTTATTCCCATATTCGTCCACTGAACTTGGAGATTGTAAGGAGTGATAGATTTGTTACTACAGAGCCTGCGTTTGCGGCATTCAAGACAGCGACTTCTCTGCTTTCCAGTGTGTTCCTAAGCTGCAAGAGCCTGGCTGGTCGCATGTGGCCTTGTCGAGCAGATCAAGCGCTTTTTCGTCTTCCCTTTCACTCTCAGTCGGTTATTTTCTACCCATGGGATACTAGCATCGTGCTGAATTGCACATTTCCAGTGCTGCTTGAATGCTGTTCATTTTGACTTTAACGTCGAATTTTGCATCCCCTATTCTATCTTGTAAAATGCTGAAATATTCCAGCACGTTAACTTTTCAGAAGGAAGATCCAATGGAGTTTCCACCAAATCTCGCATTACTCGTTTAACCCATAACGCCCAGCTTTCCTATTTCGTGGTGGACCTAACGGAATAGAAGCAATTTTTCGACGGCCGCGGACTTTGTGTTCTCTTTTTACAGTAAAAAATCCTCAATAGATAGAGGACTTGAATGGTTTCAAACACGATACAATTGTAGGAGAACTTTGCTCTGCCATTCTATGAGCACGATTTATTTGTACGCTACAATTTACTGTGCGTTACTATGGTCCACATTGAAAATCCATTGCTCTCACCACTTGGAAGTATTTTGCAGTCTGTGTTGAGTACATTTCGCTATTTTCATAACGATATATTCTATACAATAACAATGCTCCTTAAAGTGAAGTAACCATAAGATGTAACTGAAATTAGTGGCTATTGAAGTTTTTCGAAAAAGTTTTTCTCAATCAATAACTTTAAGGAACAGTTTTTCGGTCTCACCCCTAATATTTTGATCTGCTTCCCACGAGCTATAGAAAGCGCGTTAACAGTGCGGTAAGAAAAAAACTCTGGAACCCACTAAACTTAATATGAAGACTCATTCGGTCGTTTGGTCAAGATCGCTATGGACATTAAAGTGTCTATACGAAGCGTTATGGGTTAAGTGCGCTGTCAGACGAGTAAACACCTTTGGTAAAGAACGTTGATGTGTAGAAAGTGCGGTTGTCATCGCGTGATGAATGTAAGATTTAGTGGTTTATGTGGACTAGCTTCTCCATAGATTTCCCTTTTTCAGGTTGATCGCACTGTGGTGCTGAGCGTTCAGAATAGGCATAATTTCTCCCTTATTGTTGGGTCGGTGGGCTTCGCGTTGCGCGGTTGAGTGCTCTTTAGTTAGCTGAAACGCCCACTGAGCCAAATATGTTGCGTAGTTCGTATAGCAGCGGGCTTTTTTCCTTCGAACCTGCCACGCGAAACATTTGACATTGGACGCCACAGTTCGTGGGCCCAGACTTGGGTAATTAAACCTTTACAATATCAATATGTTAATAACAAACGCAACCAGATCAATTGGTATACACAGTACATAAAGTGGCTTGATTAATAAACAAGCGTAACAGAAGTAAAGAGGTGCACTTACAATAAAATGGGCTTTCAAAATAGATTCATGTATATGGCGTGGAGACAGATCTACTATACATCTTGGGATTATTTAAAGGAAAAGTCTAGAAAATAGAGACAAGTTCATAGAATGAAAGAGAAGAGAGGAGATGGATGTAGCTCGAACAATGCGTAAGTGAATTTAGTAAGAACATTTTTGCTTGGAATGGGAGGAAAGGTTATAAACGTCACAGTGGCATGTCAATGTGCCCCGTCCATTGTCTACAGTCGTGTACCGATGTAGTATCCTAATATCCTTCATGATCAACACCACTTTGTTCCAGAACAGCAGAACTGACAAAGAGCCAAATAGTCACGTCTTTTCACGAAGATATTTCACGAAGACACGAATAGTCTTTTTACGAAGATATTTACGTTTATAAAGGAATAAAATTTGCGATAATTTATTTCCAGCTCTCATATATTCTTTCAACGATTGCGTGTATATGAACCAGGCATCTCTAAATCACATTCCTCTTACTTCATTCCAATGAGCTAAATTTTAAAAATAACTGAAGGAAACAGTGGAATTTTTCGCAAATGTTAGATTCATGGCATGCCAAAGCATGGACCAACCGCAATTTTTCTTCCCTTTAAAATGATGACATGTACGTTAGAATGTTTGAATTGCATTTGACACATTGTCACTTGCTGTGGTTCGCTGATCAATTAATTTACCCATGAATCTCAATGAAGTCTTTAAAACGACATCCTACAGCCACGATCATCATCGCGGTCTACTGTGGGTCAACTGGAAATTATGAATCGCGTTGCTCTTAAATGAGGAAATGAACAATGAACCTATCCTGCTTCCCGAGAACTGTAATACACCTGTGGCACAAAATCAAGCAGAAAACGTTCAAGAAATGAATAAAAGCTACCTGAAGAAGAGGTGTGGTAAAGTACTCATTTCTCTTGGCACCACTGATATTTAGCTTCCATCTTCTATTTATTCAATAATGAGTCAAATATTCTAAGGAAAATTCCCACCAGTCTACCAACCTTCATTTTTAAAGTCGTTTTTTTGTATTTATTACGAAATTCTGAAGGAAAAAAACTCATCATGTTCCAGGCAGACCACCACCATATACGACTATTGCACCAGAGAAAAACGAATGGAAATTATGTTGGGAGCTCCGCACAACCACTGAAGACGGGCCGACCAAGTACCGAAGTAAGTATTACGAAGTATGATCATTCTACTCATGAAAGCTTAATACAGAAAATAACTGTTGTTAAGGAATCAAGGTTATCGAACTATGATTTCCTTAAGATGCATTTTGAATTTGTTCTTTTACAGCAAGTGGCTCGCTCCCTGGTTTGGCTCACAGTTAGAGCAATTGCTGGAAGAGCTACGAGAGCTATTTGTTTGTGTTTCAATAGCGCCAATATTTCTAATACTTAGTGCATCAGTTGGTGGACTTTTAGAGCAAGTAACTCACTGCTTGTTTTGTTTGAATATTGGGTTAAATAGTTGAAGAACAGTACTTAGTGTTTCAGCTAAGAGAGGGTTTAATAGACGGAATATCGAACAAAGAGCATCGAAAAAGAGAATATTGATCTTCAAGAAATATTTGACAAATTGAATTCATGAATCAGAGCTGACGGCGAGAGGAATACCTTTCGAATGGTGGAGATTCGATTATTCTCTAGTCCACTACAATGACAGAGTTATGGAATGCGCGCTACGTTGCACTTGATTCATCCTATCGTGTGTTTCGAATCCACGGAGCTTTGATGACAAAAATCTCGCCATGAAATGATTCTATGTTTTCGTTCACACAGCAAAACAATACATGTTAATTTTTGAAATTTTATTCCAGCATTTCTGACATGGGCATCAGAAGGAACTTCGAACTTTTCAAAGAAACTTGCTATTTTTCCTTACATTGAATGTCCAAGTGGTACAAGAAATTTATGGCAACTCCGTATCCCATGTCGAATACGATTTACTGGCAATGACAGAGTACACTGCTCAGTGCTGTGATGGAATTCAATGGGAAGACTGTCACATTCGAATCGCACTATTGACATCCGCATTTCGTGGTCAGTCAGCAAGTGTAGCGCGGGTTTATATAACGGATATCACGTGTCCAACAGAAATCTCAAATTCCATTCCCACAGACAAACAACGAAATTCAAAGTTTCGGATCATAGACACATAAACCGTACTGGTAGAAAGAAAATGCGACGTG